TGACCAAAAAAAACAAAAGACCTTGGCACATGGTACCACCTTGGTGAACAAGGTTTATTCGAGAAGGAGCTTTGAAGTTTGCCTTATACCAAGTCATGGGTTTTTCCAATAGAATAAGATGAATTAGTGTGCCATGATACACCAAAGGTTGGTTGGCAAATCTATAATCACAATATTCTTTCCAATTAATGAAACAAGACCACCTCCAATACTAGTTTTTATCTTATTTAACCTTACATCATAGTTTGCAAGCCCAATGGTGTCACTAAGCAAAGTTATGATATTTGATCCATCCTTCAAATAAACTTGTTCTTATATAAAAATTTGCCTCTCCATTGGCTAAATTGGAATTTATGCATCCCTGCCATTAACATAAGCATGAATGGTATGGCCCATAGTGTCCTCGTGATTTGTATTGCTCTAAGTTCAATTGTCATTGATATCAACACTAGTCATGTACCACAAGTAGTCACTTAACATCCAAAGTTAGTTCCTTCTGCTATAGAAGCTAGTTTGGTTTGAGATGGCCTTTCTGTGCATGGTATCGTTCTCTTTCTTTGGTATCCATGTTCAAGTGAGCTTAGTAGAAGCATCATTATTCTTCACCATTATTGTGGTTTGAGTATTAACCTTTGCAGTGTTGAAAACTTATTTTTTGCAATCCTATTGTAAGTCAACATTAACATATTGGTTATTGTTTGCATTGCTCAAGAAACAAAATATTGCCCCATTTGCATTGTTACATGATGTCAAAGTATCTTCATTATTGCCAAAATCCTTGTACGTCCTTATTCAGTTGGTGAGGTTTTCCCTCCTAATTTTGTCCTTTATGAGTCTGCTAAGCTTAAGAATAACGTTTTTAAAATTAGAGTAGGGATTGAACTGATAAAGCTACTGATTCACAGTTTAATGGTTTACTTAGAGTTGAACTAGTGATAAATAAATAAATATTTTTAACATTATATAATTTATTGAATAAAAAATTAATATAAAAAATTCTGTTAAAAAAGATTAAAGTAGCATGTTACATAGTTTGTAAGATAAAAATTTTATAATATATAGCTAAATAATATCAATTTATGAATATACTCATATATTGCCCTTTATTTATTCTAAAAATAATTTTAAAATAAACTATTTTTTAAATAAGCAAAAAAATCAATGTTTTTGTTTAAGAAAATCAGTTGAAATCGATTCAACAACACTAGTTCTATCTACTTTTAATTGATTCTCGATTTGTTTAGCTGATTGTTTGCTCCATTAATTTCATAAATCGTCTGCATAAAGAACAAGAGACTTGATCAATTTTCGATTTAATTGGCCGATTTGTTCCAATTTTTAAAACTATACTTAAGAAATTTCCCAATTAACTTGATTTATGTTCCCACGCTTATCAAGCAGTGCGTCATGATCATAAAATATTTAAAAATAAACAATTTTATTTACCAAATAAGGGATTAATAATAATTATGTAATATAAAAATATTATATTTTCATATTATCAATTAAAAGAACTAATATAATTGATTCTCTGACTAAAATTTTAAAGTAGATTTTTTTTTATAAAATTGAAATTTTGGATGATTAGGTTAATTATAGTGGACACTAATAAAAAAATTAGTCCGTTGAAAATATATACTTTGTTTACGTAAAAGGATCAATTAACCATTTTAAACAGTTTAGTTTACATAATCGTGAACGATCATCAGTTCTTCGCTAGTTTTTTAATTTTATTTTGGTATCAATTCTTCTCGATAATTGTTCCAAAATGTACACCGTTTAAAATCATGCTTGAGATTTTACACATTTCGTATACCAATTGATGATAATTAAAATCAATTGGTTATTTAACTAACGCTTGACAGCAATTGATTCCTAATAATTTACCTGTAATTGATGTTTGGCAGGCGTGAATCACAGGGGCAACAAGATCACTAATAAACCTATGCTTATATATTTTCGAAAGAAAAATATTTTCTTATATTAATATAAGTCTAAAAATTCTTATATTTAATCTGAACCTTTTATTTAATTTATATTTAACAGTCAGTAAAGTAATAAATTATAACTCATTATATGTAAGTTAAATGAAAGGTTTAAAATTTATGTAAGAGTTTTTAAACTTATACCGATATAAAAAAATCCTACTCTATTTTTTAATTTTATATTTTTATGAAATTTTAATTTTAATTTTTCATTTTTTTAATTTTAGGCTGTGATTTTTTAAATTCATATTTTCTTTTATCTATAGTAAGAATTAAATGATGACATGATTAATTAAGAAATTGTCACATAAATTTTATGCCACACATCAATTTTATTTTATTTTTGAAGTCATGTTAGGTAGAATGGCTAAAAATACTGAAATTTTTTAGAGGCTAAAACTAAACTATCATAAATATAGAAACCAAAAATAGCCATAAAACTAAAACAATAATATAATTTGAATTCTCTTTATTTTTTAAAATAAAATTGTTGAAGTCATCACCTCTATGGGAATCCTTGGGGTTAAGGTATTTTTTGCTGACTGTTATTAGTGCTTCTGATTGCCACAGAATGAGAAACAAAGAAAAAAGGGTAAAGGTTTCATTCCAAGCAGCATGCTTGTGTTCCAAGTCCAGTATGAGCAGCAAAAACAGTAGCAAGCACTACTACTTTTTCACTTAATGCTGTTACTTCTTGTTCGCTTTTTGAGCGTGTGGAAATTATCTTTATTATTATTATAACATATGCAAAAGAGTAAATAACAAGAATTTATATATAATAAATTTTAATCAAAATTATAAAATTTAATATAATTTAAGTGATATTATTAAATATTATAATTTTTAATAAAAATATTATTTATTAATTTCTTATTATAATTTCTTTTGCCTAAGATAAATAATAATAATATAGCAGTTTCCTTTTAGATCAGTGGGTTTCACATGCTCTCAAAGTCGAACTCCACTCTAGCTTCATCTCTGCCATTGTTTCCTTCTAATTATATCCTCGATGCTATGTACTATACTGAATTTAAAGATGTGTTTCATTATGGCGAGAGATTGATGGATGTTACATGTATCAATTGCTTTTCTTTTGTCCTAATATCATTTTCAAACTTAATAATTCACCAAGATCTTCTCTGTTATTTGTTCTCTTTTTTCCTCCCCCACTAATTTGGTAAACCAATAATATTTTAGCAATGACAGATTAATGGAAACTGTTAGAGAAAATTGGATTGTTATCATTAGAGAATAAACATAGGAATGTTATCCACGGAAATTTGAACATACCTACCACTTTATTAAGAAAAAATTAAGTATTTTTAATTATACCTAATTATATACGATTAAAAAAATAATACAGAAAAAGGTGATTGATATCCAATGAATTGCATGATTTTCTTATCCTTAAAGCTGCCAGTTCCATGCTTTTCTACCAAAAAATATTAGAGAATTGTTGGACATGAAGGATTATATTAATATGCTTGTGTTAGGCGGCTACAGCAAGATACAATTGAACCCACTACATGCATGAAAGTGCACAAGCACGAAGCGTTAAAAGTTATGGGCATTGGATACCCCAATTAATGGGATTAGAGAATCTTGCAAGGTTTTTCTGCAAGGGAATACTTTGTTTCACTTGAAACATGAAAATGATCGTGAACCAGAAAAATAAAATCAAATTCCATTTTGAATATCTTGTAAGATTCTGGGTCACTGTCAGACACATACTTAAAATTAGAGAGATGGAGAGAGATTTATTCCAACATGGCGATTTTTAGTATAAAAATGAATTAGCAACAATGTGTTATATGTAAATTATGATGGTTAAAGATAAAGCATACATATAAATGCATATTAGTAAGTGAGGAAGTTATGTATAATTAATTCTGGCCAGAAAGGGGTCTATATAATAAGGGCGGCAAATTTTATTGGTAGACTAATCAATTTAAAACGATGGCACGCCCAAATAAAGAAACACCATCAAAGCTTAAACATCAAGTTCAACAAACACTTTCTAAGCTGGCATGCAATGATCTTGTCTGATGATTTTTTCCCCCTTTTCTTATATTGAATCTTATCCATGAAGGTTGAGTTTGTGTATCCTTAAAAAAATTAAGGTAAACTACTTGGTGATAACATTATCAACAAAAATTGGAAAGGAAGTCACATGATGCCAAAATGTGATACCATCTTAATGGTTATTTATACTATAATTTGGAAAAATGAAATATTCATCAGTACGTAATTTTAATATTTTACAGTTGACAAATGGTTATAATGTTTTAATACATATATATATATATATATATATATATATAATTAACTAATGAAGTACTAACTACTTTTTAAACTTTATAAAATTTTATAAACTTAATTTATTTAATAGGAAATGTTAAAAACAATTGAATTGATAAACTTCAAGTAGTTACATGCATTCTCAAAATGCAACTCAAAAAGCATTATCCTATTACGGGTTAAAGCTGAGTAGCCTTAATGATTCATAAGCGTTTGGTGGGTAGCACCAGTGTAGTTGGAGTAGTTTAGAAGGACTTATCCCAATAAGAAAAATGACAATTTAGAATTTGTAAGTGAAGTTCTTGTACAAAAATCAGTGGCTTCTAGCTTGGTCTTGAATACCATTATATTTTTGTCAATTAGCTACTTTCGAATTGGGTCAATCCGGCATAAAGGCACTTGATTGAGAAATATAGGGAGGCCTAAATTGAATTGATTGATTAGCATTCACACCTTTTTCTTGTTTTCAAAAAGAAAATGTACATGATGCGTTATTATTCAACAAAAGAGGCTGTCGATAGAAAAATTATGGGGCAAGAGTCGGTGGATGCATAAATGAAATGTAAAATAGAAGCACAATAAAGATTGCATAATTTGGATTGAGATGGCAAAGTCATGGCAGTGACTGGTGGCCATGTTCAAGTTGACAAAATCAACAATGAAAACGTAAAGCCCCTCATGCCAATTTTAAATAGCAACAAACAAATGATTGTGTTGGTTGAATAAATGATATCTAATTAGCCACTTAGAGGGAATAATTTGAAAATTTATAGGTTGCACCCAAAAAAGTGCTCACAAAATTAGAAGAGATGCATTGTCAAAAAAAGAAGAGAGGCCACTATTGCATACCTCACTAACTGTTCTAAAGAATAAAAATGTGTAAGAGAAGCCAAAATACCTATTACAAGGAATAATATAATTAGAAGGAAGATAAGCATTACAGCCAAACCTTTTTTTATGAGAACTACAGGTATATTTTTCTGCCATGTTTATAAGATTGGAACAACTCGATCCTTATGACAATTGGCAAAAAAGCTAACATGTAGTTTCTTTAATACTATGTAATCTATATAATGAAAATTAGGTGCCATCCCCTCTCTTATATACTTCCAAGTTCTGTCACCAACTAATACATTGATACTACTTAACCATCATACCATGCAGAAAAAGAGATGTAGAAGACCAATTAAATACAAATTCCCCATTTCTATATCACACAGGTGGCATACTGAAAGTGAATCAGTCCAAACTGAATATGTTTATTCAACTCGATGAAGACCCTTAATTTATTTGCACCAAACACACACCAGTGTCATCTACTGGCAACACCGCTTGAAGACTGGGAACACAAAAACCCACTTGCATTCAATAAGGTGAGCTCACAGCTGCTTATAAGACATAATGAGGTCATAGAAGCACTAGTTGTCAGAAGTTGGGTACCTTCTGGTGTCATTTAGTGATTTGAATATTGGGAGCTAAACATCCACTTGCAATGCAAAGGCAAAAAGATGAGCTCATAGGAACTATCACGCTATGGTCATAAAAGCTATATGCAAATTTTGGCAGCTTGCCAGTAGTTTATGGAGCCGCAATATTCTTAAAAACAAAATTGCTTGTGTAGACCTTCCCTAAGATAATAATCCCTTGTATATCAATTAGATCAACAACATCATATTATCTAACTATATAGCAATTGTTCACTTATAATTTATGCAACCATGGTTTCAACTTGCAAAAGGCTTAACGCATAATAGATAAATATACCTTCTTATTACAACTATAGCTTCAGGAACATCATGTTATTTTGGTTATCAATCAAATAGTAGAGAGAAAAAGTTAAAACAATAGCCGATTGTCAAAAGTTCATGGAAATCAGAAGTGCAGAAGTAGACAACAATCAGTTTGCCATACTTCTAGTTCTAACCAAGATAAGGTCTTTCGCCATGCTTCAAGGCAAAGAAGAAAAGGCGCATTCTATGATCAATTATCATAGACTGAGGCTCTTAGCCACAAGCTAGCTTGCAGCTTAATCGGCGGCTCTCTTTAAATCGAAGTTTGATGATGCTGATGTAAGATGTTCAATCCTCTACTAATCACTTTTCTCCCTTATATCCAATCGCTTGCACTTTCTAAGTATCTAAGAAAATTGAAGACTCTAAACCTCTACTGAAAGACTCTGGATAAGGAATTTAAATGATGCTGAAAGGAGGACTTAAATGTTAAAACATTAGTATTTAGTAATAATAGAAACTATTCATGTGACTTTTCCAGCTAAGTTATTTAAAGGAAAATTCAGTGCCCTTTATAATGAAGCAAAGCTCCAGTTACTGATCCATCTTGTGAAAAACTTTAGCTTCTTTAGAATTACTAGGTACCGTTATGAGATGCTGAAAAACAATATTTTAAAAACGGAAAGATTCTCCCAAGTGAAATTTTGAAGGAAAGAAGCAAAGTTGTTTGTTAAGAGAGAGTAAATCATCCCAATTGTGACAAGAAAGGAGCTAATGTGCAGAAAGGGAGTGGCAAGTTTGACCAATTCACAGATGTAATTTGCAAGTGCTGTTCCACACAAAGGTTAAAATTTCCCAGATGATAAAGTAATAATAGCAGATCCAATATGAAATTTGACAAATATGATTATGAAACTATATCACCAATTTCACAAGCAAACTGATCAGCACTCCATCCTGACCTAGAGAAGAACAAAATAATCAACACACCTCTGAATTAAACAATAGTTTAAGGCCAGACCAAAGCATCCACGCTATCTGGCCCTGCAATTTCACCACCTGCAAGTCAACATCATCAACAACACAACAATTACTTACAACCCATGAAAGATTGTAAAAAAATACACAGATCAAAGAAATAAAACACAAGAAAACAAAACAAAAACTGGTTGAACCACCTTTATCTGGAGACTCGAGTACTGCCGAGAAGCAACAACAAGGGAGGGAATAAACCAAATCCAGTTTCTATTGAATCCTCTGAGACATCTATTTTTTTTTCTCACAGTCTCCCAATTATACAACACAAAAGCCATTGTAGAAACCTGAGCCTCTGGACAATGCTACTTTCTTTCACCCAAATCCATGAAAAATCTACTGTCCTGAGCCTTGAGAATCATCCTTAGGAGGAGTTTGCTGATGGTGCTGTTGCTGCTGCTGGTGTACTCTACTAGCTTGACCCATCTGCTGATAAATCTGGCTCAAAGCTTGAGGATTCAAGACCCCAATATGGCCATCCTGAGACAAGCCCAGTTCCAAGCCAGGCATCTGCTGGTTACCCCCACCGCCCAAAATAGAGGTAAAACTCATAGGGCCCATGTTGGTGGCAGAAGGCAAGTCAAAGCCAGGGAAGCCAATTTTTTGCAGGTAATTTGAACTATCAGTGGCTAAACTGGCATTAGATGGACCAGATGATGTCTGAAATCCAAATCCACTGACATGGGGGGGCCATAGACCTGTGGCCACATGGGGTCTCCCCAAATTCCCTCCAACCATTTGCCAACTGGTCCTACTACTCCCTGACCCTATATTGGACCCTCCCAATTCATCAATCTTTTGGTGCAAACCAGCAGAAAGAGAGGTTCCTTGTTGTGAAACAGTGGTGCCAGCAGCAGCCAAAGCAGATGCTGGAATTGTCCCAGTCCCAGTGGCTGCTATTATGGATGGCTCAGCCTGTTGAAGAAGCCACTGGATTGTTTCCCCATCAGATTTGTGACCCAATTCTCTGGTCAACTGAAAGATTCTAGCTGCACATAGAGCTGGCATCCTTATCCTCCTCCCCCTCCCTTCAACCTTTGTGTGCCTGTCCTTGTTGGAACTCCTCTTTGGTGCCAGCTGCTTCTTGTTCTCTTCCTTCTCAGCGATCACTATCTGGAAATCCTTAACCTCTGCAGGCTTGTTCTCTCCCATGTTATTGTTGTTGTTGCTGTTGTTCCCTTGTTGCTGTGGGAGGCTCAGGAAGCTGGGTACTACCTCCTGTCCCTGTGCCTGTGCCTGCTTTGAGCCCTTGGGATCCATCAACAGAGCACAAAAGAAAAGGAAAATAAAAATAATTAAAAAAGGGGGAAAAAGAAATGATGGGTCCTCTTTGATTGAAGAAGGTGACCTGAAAAGTCCTAAACTTTCATGAGTTTTCACTGTTTCTGGCAAGAACTGAGGGACAAAACCATAAAATATTAAAATCCCAATGTGCCCATGTCAAATTTTTCACTCCTTCTCTCTCTCTCTCTCTCTCTCTCGCCTTCTTCCTCTCTTGTCCTTTCTTACCTCTTTCTCGGTGTAGTGGGTTTTGACCAGCCAGATATGAGTTTTGAAAGCAACTTTAACTGCCAGTTTCACTTCCTCGGTGTAGCGACTAAATCTATAACCCCGTGTTTCTCTACACACACCAAACAAAGCCCATCTTACGTTTCATTCATTTTTTATTTTTCTCAAAAATGAATTCAATTTTATAATATTTAATTTTTACTTTATTTTAACATAAATAATGATTCCATCTTTTAATTTTACTTTTAGTCTTAAATTCATTCATTTACTTTTTTAATTTAATTTTTATCTTAAGTTAGTCTTTCCATTACATTCAATATTTTAAAAAACATTAAATGCCTCTTATTATTTAAAATAAAATGAGTTAAAATATCTGATTCGAGATATTTTTAGCAAAATTTAATAAAAATTTACTCAGAATAAAATTATATAAAATAAATTTTCATAAAAGTTATAGCAAATTAATATTATTAATACATTGAATAATATTAAATTCTATTAATAAAAATTACTATATATTTTTTTATCTTTTGCAATATTGAACATTAAAGAAAATCCATTAATAATATTATAATGGCAGAATTAACTTAAAACAAAAATCAAAATTAAAAATTCATATTAAATTAAAAAAGTAAAAAAATATATTTTAAAAAATAAAATTAGAGGGATAAATTTCTATTTTTTCTTTCTAATATTACATCCCATTATATTTTTATTTTTATTTTCCCTAAATATATATACAGCAAACAGTGTAGAGCAATCTTTTTCCTTTTAATATTTCTGTCATTCTTCTTATAACTACAACATTATAGTTCAACCTTCCATCCGTCACTGAAGGTTTGTTTGAGTGAGAGAACATTTTGTGGTTAACAATATTCTTTTTTATTGATTAAAGGAAAAAAATAAAAAAAAATTTAGAAACAAAAAAGTATTGTTTTCCATAAATGCATGCATCAATTGATAATAAGTAATTCAATTTGGAATGATTGTGTTAAAATTTTATGAGAAAAGATTGAGTATCGTGGGTGATTTGATTCAATTAAAACAATAAAAGGGTAAAAGAAAAAGAAAACCAATGGCACGAGGTCATGGATTCGATATAGGCCCCACTTCTTGAAAGAGGTGTTATAAAAGAGAATTTAAGAACAAGATAAAATAATGGGATGAGAAACAGAGAGTAATGGACTCATTAAAGAGAGGTGTGTTGGATCAGTGACATAGTGTCCAATAGTGGGTCCTTGTTTCTTTAAATACTATAGTTGCTGGCAGTTCATGTCCCATTTACAATGAGAATCACTTCCCATACACTTATGGTTTGTTCTATTTTGTGTTGGACTACCTAGTAAGACTTCTGTTTTGGTGAGCCCAGATTTAGACCAACAAAACGGGAAAAGTCTAATTCTAAATAAATTAATGCTATCAGTTTCCCTTTCCAAACACTGTTTTAGATTCAACCACATTGTGCCACTATTTTGACTGCAAGTGATATCACTTTTCTAACCTTCCTAATGCTATTTTTCCCTTTACCCCAAAGCAATGTTTTTTCGTTGCGAATTATTTCATGACAAAATCATCTGGTTTATTAAATTGTAGACATTTTATGTTAGAAATTTTCATTGCTTATATCATACTTTATAAATTATGTTCTGTAATTATGATACTTTTAAACAACGAAACATGGTTTTCTGCTTTATCTTTCTGTAAACTTTATTTTCTCCTTAATTTATGCTTATTTAGGGCAGTTGCTAGTTTTTTTTTTAATTTTTAAAATAAAATCTATTTAGTTAAAATAAATCAAAATGTATTTTTAACTTAATTTTAATCTATTTTATTTTTAAAAACTATTTTAATTTTTTATTTTAATTATAAAATAAATTATTTAATTTTTATTTCTTTTAAAATATACACAATATTCATTATCATTATTATTACCATTAGTTAATAACTACTATTACTACTTTTATGATACTCACTGTTATCATTGCTATCATCATCGTTATCATATAATATTACTATTATATTTATTATCTATAATTTTATATTCTTCATTATACTTATGATTTATATTACTAGTACTATTATTGTCGTTATCATTATTACTATTGTCAAATTATTTATTAACATACTTATTATTATTATTATACTTGTTATTACCATAATCACTATAAAATTTTTATCATCGATCAATATTATAATTATCATTTCTCTTTTCTTTATTTTTCACTTTTATTGTTTATTCATCGCTAAATATTCAAACAAACTTTAAGAAATAATTTGTGTAGTATAAATTTAAGATTTAATATTAAAATTTTAAAATTGAAGACTATGAAAGTTTGAAACTAAAATTGGATTCAATTTTTAAAATTATCAAAACTTAAAATTAATATCCACTCTAAATAAAGCCTAAATTTTTACTTGTATTTTTTTTTTTTTGTTTTATTTTCAAACGTTTCATTTCCTAAAATTTATATATTTTTTCTTTAGTCTACACTCTTAGTAAATTCTATTTCATAAGTAAAACATTAACCATTTTCAAGACATACACAATTGAAAATCAAGAATATTTTCTAAAAATTGTTAAGTTTGTTGATTAAACACCAATTGAATTATAAGAGAAATTAAGTTTAACTTAAACTAATTTGCATAAATTAGGTGAAATTGAGTTGGATAAGACTTTTTGTTTGTTTTTTTTTTTGTATGGGCATAACATACACCATCCAATAAAAAAACAAATCAAATAAAGTGATTAGTTATGTAGTGGTAAAGTTAAAATATAAAATAGAAAAAAAAAAAGAATTGTATAATGGAAAATGGTAAATGTAATGGAGAAACTATCATCAACCGATTATTACATGATGCTATTGTAGAGTTTGGTCATGGTAAGCAACACTTACAGGACTATAATTGCAATTTTCATGTGTAAAATTAAGAGCAAGTGTACACATAAAAAAATAGTGAAGTATTTAAAATCTCATGATATAATTTTATAAAAACTATGTAGTAATTATCAAGGCTTTTAATTTCCAATTATTTATGTAAACAAAGATGATGAGTTATTTAAGCAATAACAAAAAAAAAAAAAAGTTAAAGAGAACAACATTAAAAAGTAAAAGAAAATTAAAGATTCTAGAGCTATCAAATGATCATAAAATATTCAATTATAAACTAACTTAGAGAATTTGACTTTGTCTAAATTGTTCATCAAGGTTTTACAAAAAAAAAATTATGTTTCTATGAATTGTTAATAACTTATTTTAAATCTATTAATATATTAATATCCAATGAAAATACAATATTGATAATTTTTTAAAATTTTTTATTTCTATCAATACTAAATAATTATGCAATATTTATAATTTTTTATAAAAGCTCTATCATTGATAGTCATACAAGATATAAGATTAGAAAATTGTTAAGATATAATAAACTTGTTAATTTAAATTAAAATAGGAAAAAAACTTAATATATATTTAAAGAAAAAAGAATCAAATCATAATTCATAATAGATAGTCTATTATAATCTTATATCATCGATTTAATTACTAATAATTATTAACAAAATTTTAATATACATTCAACAAATTTTCGTAACAAAAAAAAAATAATAGAAGGAAAGTCTCTTTTATACGATAGATCTAGTACTAATGAGAGAGAATCTAACTCTTTTCTTAAATTTTTCTTAATGAATACTCTCGTATTAAAAGAAGATGTGAAGATATAAGGTTAAGTAAAATCTAATTTTTTTTCTCTCTAACTAGCTTTGCCTATATATAGAGAAAGTTTGTAACTAGGCCCAATTGAAAATTTTCAAAAATAATTTTTGAATTATTTATGCAATTATTCACTAATTTCTTTGTTATTATTCATTTGCCTTAAGATAAGTTTCTTTCTTTATTAATTTCTTCAACTTAAGCTTCTTTTTGTCCTAAAATTTGTTCTCAACTCTATTTCACCTATCTTCTAATAAAATAGAGAAAAAAAATCACTAAATAGTTGCAAGTAAATTGACAAAATAACTTTTAAGTGTGCAATGAATCACAAAATAGGAAGTAAATAGTTGTGACAGAAAACAAAATCACAATAGTAAAAATGGACTAAGTCTAGATTAGCTTTACAAAGCTCAAGCCTTATTGATTTTTTAAATATGTCTTAAGTCATTTTTATTTACTAAATATAAGATTTATTTTAAGGTATGATCAAATCTAAAATCCTAATTAAAATTTTACTTTCTAATAATTAAGGCCATTTAAATAAATCTATAAATTCATTTCTAAATAGGTTAGTAGGTTTAAACTAATATTCAAACTAATAAGTTTAAACTTTGAAATAGACTATAATTTAATTTGAATAAACTTCTAGATAACTCTTTATAAGATAAAAAAAAAAATAACATAAAAAATGAATAAAATTATTCTGTGTTAAAAGTAACTTATCTCTTCAAATTTTAGAGAAATTAAATAAAAAAAACTAAACAAATAATGAAATTTGTTAATTTTAATTTATAAAAAAAATTAATTTATTTCTACTACTTAATTTGTACTATTATAAGTATTTATTGATAAATTTATCCTAAACTTAAGTATATAATTTTAAAATATTATAATAAAATTTAATTTATTATTATTATTATTATGAATTGTTAGGATAAAAAGGCTTTTAAAAAGTCTAAAATATGACCTTTTTAACTTAAGATGTTAAAAAAAATCTTAATTTAACTTATTTAATAAATAGGTTTAACCTAACTAAACTTAATATATATTAAGTCATAAAATCTCAATGAATTACCTAATTTATTTATATCTATAGTAACACGTGATGATTGCATAAAATAGTTAAAATGAAGATGTTTATTATATTATTATTATATCTATTAGGTTGATTTTAAACTTTATCTTTGAATTATTTTCTTGAGATTAAAAGCTAATAATAGATAAAATTAAAAAAATAATACTAGCTTACATATTTAGGTTAAGTTAATTTTAGTGAATACAAAGCATAAGCTTAACCTAATTAATATGACTTTATAAATTAATCTTATATATTAAATTTAGTTTATCTAAATCTATGAT